GGGGGGGATCCCTGCAGGTAGCCGTGAGTGACAGTCACCGCTCTCTGCAGGGATAGATCGAGAAGTGAGCGAGCGACGGTATGTGTTCCATCACTTCCCGATCTATTCAGCCGTTGTGTGACAGTTTCATTGTCACGCGTCGGCTTCAACTATGAGGGTGATTTTCACACACCTCCATAGTTCTCCTTTAAACCAAAGTGGGGGCTTTACATACATTATAAAACAGAATAGTGTACAAATCTCTTAAAGTGGACCTGTCACTTAAAAGTAACTGAACCGGCATTACTAGGGATATAGCAGGTGGCAAAAGTTGAAGGTTTATATGATTAGTTTGGCTGATTCTTCCCCAACGTTCTCCAGGAATACAAAATGTGTCTCGGAGCCAAACCCCAGCCCGAACTTTTAATCTGTTTTTAGGTTCAGATGGATTTTGGAAAAATAAACAATTTTGTCAATTTTATTGCTGTTCATGACCCTCTTAAGTAGATTTTACTTCATAGAGCTTTGAGTCTGCCACTTTTTACATGTATTTTCTGTTTTTTGGGGGGTTCTTTTTAACCTTTTTGTCTAGATCTCTGCTTGTCCCCCAAACATGTTCAAATTAATTTCCTGTTGCCTGCCTCTCTACCTCTGCTGGAAGTCTGTTCCAACCTCAACTAATCTTTCTGTAAAAAATACTTTCTAAGGTCAGTTTAGAACTTTCCTCCGGCTGGTTTGAGGTCATCTCTACGTGTTCTTCATCTCCACTTCATATTGAAAATCCTGAACCCTATGCACACCCTTCATGTATATAAAAGTGTGTCATGTCCGTCCCTTCTCTTCTTTCCTCCAGACTGTACATAGGAAGTTCCTGCAGCTTCTACTGATTATAGTTTTCTCTCTCAGACCTTCCACCATTTTTGTTGCCCATCTCTGGACTCATTCTATCTTACCAATATATTTCTGTAAGTGAGATCTCCAGAACTGGACACAGTATTCTAAATGAGGTCTAACTAAAGATCTATATAGATGAATCAGGACCTCCTTCCTCCTGCTGGGGACCCCTCTAGTGATAGATCTATATAGAGGAATCAGGACCTCCTTCCTCCTGCTGGGGACCCCTCTAGTGATAGATCTATATAGAGGAATCAGGGCCTCCTTCCTCCTGCTGGGGATCCCTCTAGTGATAATAAAGTTCTATATAAAGGGATCAGGACCTCGTTCCTCCTGCTGCGGATCCCTCTAGTGATAATAAAGATCTATATAGAGGAATCGGGACCTCCTTCCTCCTGCTGGAGATCCCCCTAGTGATAAAGATCTATATAGAGGAATCGGGACCTCCTTCCTCCTGCTGGAGATCCCCCTAGTGATAAAGATCTATATAGAGGAATCGGGACCTCCTTCCTCCTGCTGGAGATCCCCCTAGTGATAAAGATCTATATAGAGGAATCGGGACCTCCTTCCTCCTGCTGGAGATCCCCCTAGTGATAAAGATCTATATAGAGGAATCGGGACCTCCTTCCTCCTGCTGGAGATCCCCCTAGTGATAAAGATCTATATAGAGGAATCGGGACCTCCTTCCTCCTGCTGGAGATCCCCCTAGTGATAAAGATCTATATAGAGGAATCAGGACCTCCTTCCCCCTGCTGGGGACCCCTCTAGTGATAATAAAAGATCTATATAGAGGAGTCAGAACCTCCTTCCTCCTGCTGGGGATCCCTCTAGTGATAAAGATCTATATAGAGGAATCGGGACCTCCTATCTCCTGTTGGGGATCCCTCTAGTGATAAAGATCTATATAGAGGGGGGGCGTGGCTTAGCGCGGATACGAGATGGACGCACATTGAAAGAGCTCCAGAGCTACCGGGAGAAATTTGCACGATTAACCAGCAGTTATGGGAAAAATTGGTCGCCAACTCCCTTTTGATCGTGACACAGGCTCGCAGGGCTACAACTCCATACCTACCATGTTCCGGGCGCAACATTCTGACCCCCGGAATGCCAATCCCCCGCCTGACCACGAGGCAACGGACCACGAAGGCCAACATCCTTCATCAGAGGCAGAGGTCCCCTTCTACATCAACAAACTGCCTCAACGAGCTGACCTCAAATCGGTGGTGAGCAAGATCAAGAATGCGCTGTCGGAGGCGGTTTCAGATTTGAGATCAGATATTAAATCTATAGCGGATCGCCTATCCGTGGTGGAGCAAGATGGCGCCCGGCGGGATGAAAAGATCACAACCAACAGACGGGCCATCTCCTCGCACACCACACACCTCGTTACCATGCAGAGGCACCTTGAGGACCTAGACAATCGGGGGCGCCGCCGTAATATCAGAATCAGAGGATTGCCTGAGTCGGTGGAACCGGAGGGCATACAGGCGGCTTTGCAGACGATCTTCAACGAGCTCCTGGAGAGACCTCTAGATTCGCCAATAGATCTGGAAAGAGCACATCGCGCCCTACGTCCTCGGGGTAGAGACTCTGACCCGCCAAGAGACGTCATCTGCTGCTTTCTCAGTTTCCAACTTAAGGAAGAGGTACTCTCGAGGTCCAGACAGAGACCCTCCTTGATGCACAATGGGACAGAAGTCAAACTCTTTCAGGACCTTTCAGCGATTACACTGCAAAACCGCAGGGCCCTGCTGAATGTCCCATACCGCTGGAAATTTATCTTCGGTCTCATGGCCTCCAGAGCGGGCAGCACGGCGGTGCTGCGTTTGCCGGAAGATCTGCCTTCTTTTTGCGATCAGCTCAACCTACCTCACCTTCACCTCCCGGAATGGTACGCCGAGTTCCTCCCGCCAGACGGATGGTTTGATCCCGACCCAGGCGACGACTTCCTACCTTCAGCCCGGCCAACGGCAAGCAGAGGGGAAGGGGTACCGGCGGCTGCCGGGTCACCACCCCTCCTCCAAGGCGATTTGGCACCCCACGCGCATCGCGCAGCCTGCCAACAGGAGGCCCGGAGGGTTGAAGACCTCCCGATGCTTATTCTCAGGCCGTCCTCCTCGTGGCCCACTCGGGTTAGTTTGCCTGTTGGTGAATGTTGGCTGATTGACACGTGAGTACAGGACTTAGGCCCGTTGGCACTGTCCAGAATATGATTCATCTTATAAGATATATTTTGTTTTTACAACGTTTTACTTGTTGACGTGGACACCCGAAACCTGAACTTAGACTCTTTTTTCGCCCCCCACTGACTCCCTCTCATCGATATCAATGGACGCGTGAAACACTCCCGGATGCACTTGTGGCGGTGCGGGCCATTGCGAGGTATTATGCTTACGGATAACTGATGGAACACCAGGGGTTCCCGACCCCAGCGAAGTGTCTGCATAGATTACTATTTGATGTCCCTCTCGCATTGCCCTGTTATTACCCTTTCCACCCGGTAATATCACAGCCTCTGCATAGCCCAATATACCACACAGTGATAGTGTATTAAGCCTTAAAATACATTCCTGTTGGATGAATGTTCCATAGGTAATACTTACACTGATGTAGACATGTGCACTGCCAAAAAATTCGTTTCGTTTCGTTTTAAATTCGGATTTGTGTTATTTTGTTTTTCAGGATTCGGGTGTGAAAGTCAATTCGGATTCGGAATTCGGATTCGGACGAAATTCGGTAGCGTTAGTACGAACGTTCGTTTCGTTTTCTGTTCTTATTCGTTTCTTATTCGTTTCGTTCGTTTGCAGCAAAAGTGACATTTGAGGGGGAAAAAATATTTTTCTCCTTCTCTAATGTCATTTTGCTCCAACGAACGAAACGAATAAGAAACGAATAAGAACAGAAAACGAATAAGAACGTTCGAACTACCGCTAACAAATTTCAAAAATGGAAATTCGGATTCGTTTGCATTCGTTATGTCTGTAATTCGGAATTCGGATACATCCGAATTTCCGAAAATTCGTCCGAATTTCGATTCGGAAGGAAACGAATCGCACATGTCTACACTGATGTGCTATTGTCGCACCAAAGCGATATACCCGTGCATGCGTTCCTTGGGATGCTGACAGTACAGTAGAGCCTAAATTCATACTCGCATCCCAATGCACTGTGCAACGGGCCTATTATACGTATTGGGCCCTTAGCGTGGTTCATATTTCATATACTTGAGTCGAGTTCACAATGCTTTATGTGTTTTTACATGTTCTCAGATGTTATGAATCATTTCGGGTTTCCTGTTTACTACACGTTATTGAATTACGGACC